TATTGAGAGTCTTTTGTATACAGTTGTTGGTTGCAATATTTGGTTACCTGAGGATGTTGATTGGGCACCCCTTTGTGATGCTGATGTTATAAAAGAAGCAGCAGCAGGAGGAGGATTTCTGGATTGAGAACACTGGAAAGAGCTACTTGCACTTTCACCATCATGATCTACTTCCTCCTCACTTATACCCAAGAAGGATTTTTTAATGTCAGGGACACTTGTTACATATAAGGATGTGTTTGGCCATCCTAGTATCATTTGGAAATGCATATTTCATTTGACGTTATTTGCAAATCACGCTTTTTTCTCAGACTAACTTGCAGTGTGGAAATGCTTCCATACGCTAGAAGTTGGTTGTACCACTTTGCTGAGGGAGAAAAAAGAAAAATGTAATTTAGTGGCTAGCTTGCATATATAAACACTAAGCTACAGCATGTAGAAATTTAGTCATGGTGATGGAGAGGCCTCCTCAGAGTTAACTGTGAACAATTTCCCTGCCTTGCAGACCTCATCTCACTGCTAAGGTTGGGTGATTTGTCACAAAACATCAGATTAGTAGGAATTCAATTATGAATTACATAGGTTATGAAAATATACAAATGCAGCTAAAATATAGTTGAATAAATTGAATTCAGAGAAATGTAAACTCTTACCTTTCAAGAGAGTATACTTTCTTTCAACTCCTTCCTGCTGCTTCTGTACTTCTGTGGATCTCAAGGTCACAGGGCCAGGAGGAGGCAGGTTCTTCCAACTCTAAAACCTTTAGATTTACTTTGCCTCCCCTCCTGAGGTTTTTAAGCAAGACGGCAATAAGCTCGTTTCTAATTTTTACAGGAATGAACAGATGCTGCTGCCGGTGTCCACACCCAGTGCTTTGACACTTAGTCAGGAGGACAGGAGGAGACCACCAACCTCTAGATCAAAAATCAACAATAGAGGAAGTGCACAAGCAAAGGCGGCACTGAATCCTTCTTCCTTCTTTTGTGAAAACAGCAGTGCCCCCTGCGGGCAGAAATGCATCTTGCTCTTGCATTTGAGAGTTGTACTTTACTGCTTGCCCTTGGCATACAGCAGAAGTAGGCAACGTTTTTTAGCTGGAGTGCCGAAAACCCCCACAATGCCTACCTTGGAAGGTGCCAGAGTGCCAGCACGCCAGAAAAACAAAATGAGGGCAGGGGGTACATGGCAGGATGCCCTGCTTGTGCCCCTTGCCCCCCATCCAAAACCTCCGCCCCCCAGCCTGGGCTCTGTGGCTGTCAGCAGCTACCCAGAACCTGGGTGGGCTGCAAACATCTGCTGCCTCCGCACCACAGCCCCAGCTGCCTCCCAGCCCCAGGCTCTGAGGAGGCAGCAGATACCAGCAGTGCTCCCCACTGTGCTGCCCTCACCGCTTCTGCAAAGCAATGTTGGAACCCAGTGCGGAAGAGCACAGTGGGAGGCACAGAAAGCTGCCTGCTCTGAGCTCCCTGTTGCCCTGCCACACTTTCTGTGAGCATGCTAGCAGCGTGGGCAGCGGCGCAGGGTTGTTCCCCTCACTGCTGCCCATGCCTACAGGGGAAGTGTGGCAGGGCAGCGGGAAGCTCAAGAGCAGGCAGCTTTCTGCACCCCCCAGTGCCCTGCCGTGCTGGGTTCCAATGCTGCTTTGCAGCAGCAGTGAGGGCAGCACAGCTGGAAGCATTGCTGGTACGTGCTGCCTCCCCAGAGCTCGGTCTGGGAGGCACCTGGGACTGGGGCAGAGCAGCAGCAGATATTTGCAGCTGGCCCAGGTTCCGGGTAGCTGCTGATAGCTCCGGAGCCCAGGCTGCTTGCAGCAGGGCTTTCATGGGAGCAGCCCAGGCTCCGTGGCCATCAGCAGCTACCCAGAGCCAGGGCCGGCTGCAGCCAAGAGGCTACAAATAGCCGTTTGCCTTTCCACCCTGGCCCTGGGCAGGCAGCAGGTGCCAGCACAGCGACCTTTTGGGGCTGGGGAGGCAGTAGTAGTCTCCCAGCTGCAGCTGGTCCCAGCTCTGGCTAGCTGCTAGAGCCTGGGCTGCTCCCAGCAGGGCTTGCAGCGTCCCAGTTGCCTGCTGGGAGCAGCCCAGGCTCTCTTCCGGCTAGCAGCAGCTATCCACAGCTAGGGCCGGCTGCAGCTGGGAGGCTGCAAACAGCTGCCACCTCCCTGGCCCCAATGAGTGCTGAGGAAAAATGGCCTCATGTGCTATGCTTGGCACATGTGCTGGGGGTTGCCACCTCTGGCGTACAGGAATTGTAATGATCTGATACTGTAGATAGTCTTACATAAAAGTCTTCCTATTACATAGTTATTAGAAAACATTTTTGTGGACTAAAGGGTAGCAATATATGAACACTTTATCTTAAACATTTTATTCATCATTCTAAAAGAAAATATTTCATAAGAGGTTTTTTTAAATTTTGCCAAAAATTTTCAATTTTTCAGAATAAAACAAAAGAAGTCCTTGGAAAAAATGGGGGGAAAAAAAAACAAAAAAATCCCCAAAACTTTCTGCCCCTGAATTTTACTGTTTTTTTTCCAAGCCTTCACAAGTCCAAGGATGATCAGTCCAAGCTCCCATATTAGCATATAAAGTCAAAGTTGCATCTCAGATCCTTTATGGTGCTGAAGTATGGGGCTATGCTGCCAACAACGAAGTAGACAACTCTCAGAATAAGTTTCCCTGGGCTCTTTTGGGTCTTTCTCCTTCAACTCCTGCATCCTTGACAGGATTAGATTCCATTTTAACTAATATAATCATCAGAATGGCAGGACTGTGGTTTAAAATCCTGCCTCTTCTGTTGTCTCACTTGCTCGCACAACCAGAATGCTCTACCAGAATTCCAAACTGGAGGCAGCAGTGTAGCAGAGTGCCCCCATGATGGCGGGGATGGGGCGGGGACAGAGTGGGGGCGGCAGAGCGCTGCCATGACGGTGAGGATGGGACAGGGATGGAGTGGAGAGGCCAGTGCTGCTGGCCTCGCCTCCTACCCGCCCGGCAGTCCCCGCTGTCATGATGGGGCCATCCCCACTATCTCACTTTGCTTCCAAGGAGCAGGGCTGCAAAAGGGGGAGGGGGAGGAAGGACAAGGCCAGGGCTGCTGGCATTGACCCCCCCCCAGCTGTCATGGCAGTGCCATCCCACAGCAGGGCCAGAGCAGGGGGGCAAGTGGCACTAGCCTCACACCCCACCGCAGCCCTGCTCCTTGGAGTCAGAGGGGGAAGGAGAAGGAGCAACAGGCCTGTACCCGATATGGTGGTGGTGGTGGATAATGGGGGAGGAACAGGGTCGGATGAGAAGCGGTGGCAGGGCCAGATGTGAGACTCCATCGCTGCCTCCTCAACCCCCCCTCAACCAATGGCACAGAAACTGAGGAGCAGGTGGGCGAGCTTCGGAGGGGGGCAGCCATAGGCAGAGTGGCAGCAGTGCAGGGTGTTGGGTGGCAGCACTCCATTATTATTATGTTTGTATTTCTATTATTTTTGTTTAAATTTATATTATGTTTCTATGTCTGTTATGTTGTTTTCGGGAGCATGGCTTTCAGCCAGAACTCTTAATAAATTGAACTGAATCCGGTGAAGTTACAAATGGGCTTTGTAAATGAACCCTGAATAGAAAAAGTCCAACTACTAAGAATCCATTACATTTTCTTTGTTGTTAAAAGAAAACAAGTCCTCCAAGTCAGCTGCACAACTTAATTTTTCCATTTTTTCTTCTTTGCTTTTCATCCATTGGAGCTAGACTTACATTTTTAGAAGCTACTAAGAAGGATAGACCAGAACTTTGAATTACTGATCTTGACAGAGAATGTCAAGATTAGTAAAATAGGACCAAAATAGGGATGCGGGACAGTCCTGTGAAAAACAGCCACAAAAGGTACTAAGTGCACTCTTTTGGGCATGGTAAAGATAAACTGGACCAGTCAGCATGGCTAACTGGTATCTGCATGCCATACAAGGTGCCAGGTACATTGCTCACTAGGTCCACCCATTTCAGTACTTCTGTCTTCCAACTAGGGTACCATTAGCTCCTGTGTTGCTTGAATTATCCAGGAATGTCTTCTGGAAGGTCGAAGCACAGAAAACTTGTGAGAAAAATAATGGGAGGTGAGATCCTGCTTCAAATGGCTAAACATTATAATTCTGCAATGCTACTGAAGTAGAGGTAAGGGTTGCCCATGTGTGGCATTAGGAGTAGAAGCAGGAGGAAACCTCTGGGATTGTCATATTGCATCCTTGTACTACTATTAATACTCCTGGCACCAGGGAAATGCTGCAGCATTTCACCAATCAAATATCTCTCACTCACCCTTTAATGTTTAACAACAGTTCTGGGAACAGAAAGCAGTTCAGCTAGAAGGAGATGAAAAGGAAGCAAAAAATGTGTACTGAGAGAATTAGCAAAAGAATCTGACTGATCAACATGTCACACAGGCATGGCTGCTGAGACTCACAGAATTAAGGGTGGTGGTATCTCAATATTCTTTTCTGAAGAAGGAATTGCCTTTGAACCTGTTTTTGAGCTTTGTGGGAGTGGCACAACAGTCAGAAATAGAGGACATAGAGTAGATTCTGCAACAGAGTCTTCTTTTTCAAGAAGTGATTTCATGTGTAGCACTGCACCCTAGCTTCAATTCTAAATATCCAATGTCTTTTGCTGCTTTTTTTTTTTATCGCTTTTCCAATACAACAAAAGTGACCGAAATACATGCATATTGTATAGGATACTATGCATGCTAGAATAAGAGAGAGTGAATTTGAGAAATACATTCATGGATTGTGGGGGAAATAAGACGGTACAAGGTGTACACCCAAATATTTTGGCTACACACAAAGAAGATGCCTATGCTACGCTGAAAAACTAACAGGAAATCAAAGGCAGATATTTGCTGAAAAACTGCGAAGTTAACACAGGTATCAAAAAGGGTATATTACAACAATTAAAGAATGACTATATTAATATTTCTATTTTGTGTCTGAAAATAAAATGTAAGATTTAGCTACATACAGTTCCAGAGAGGACATCATGAGGGCAGCAATTGAGGAGGTGACTCTTGCACACTCTGTCATCACTGAATTTGATTCGCTGACGGGTAGTGTCTCCTGTAATATAGAAGCAAAGACACTCCAGGTTAGATGTGTGGGGAAGCTAGCCTCTTTTCACAGGTTACATACAAATGATTAACTTTCTTTAACCTACAACAATGAAAATTTAAGAGAAGCTAAAATTTAGAAGTACTATTTAATCCCTATCCAAAGTTTAAATATCTTACACACTATATAATGTTGTTTAACTATAAGTAAGCCTACACTTACACTTTAAAAGCATGCCTGAGGCTGAAAAAAAATCAGTGTCAGGTAAAAACATATCTTTGCTATGTAGCACCTCTTTAAGATGCTGCACAGGTGGCTATTCCAGAACCTGTATAAACTACACTGATTAACTGTACTTGGCAATTAGCATATACAACAGCTTTACAAACATTTAATATATACTAGGAGTCTCCACTGAACCCCACCTGCCTCTTCTTCTATTAGTTTGTTCTTGGATGCAAAACATCCTCTTACTTCTAGTGGGGCAGTGCAAACAGATGTCAGAAACAGATTACATGCTTACAAACCTGAAAAAAAATCTGTCACACATATGGATATATTGCCTACATGCAACATTACTTTTCTAGAAGCTTACATAACCCATATCATAAACCATATATGCTGCATGTTGCTGGACTGGGAGAATTTTAATTATATCTTCATAATGGCAGGGGTAGTTCCTATTGAATCAGCAGAGGCATCAACCTGCTTACCACACACCGAGGTCCAACCGCAAGTTTAAATATTCCCATCTGTGAACAAGGTTGGAGACTAGTTCCAAATAATCAACTAGTGAGGTTACAGCTATTGTTTTATTGCAGAATTCGTTTCCTTAAAAGTCATAACAGAACTGTCACCATTCAGGTTTTGGAAGTGAAGTCTCTCATAAGGATTTTTTCCTGTAAAGATACAGGAGTTATAAAACATCTAAATATCCTTTCAGGGTGCACTATTTATTAATTAAAATATAACAACCTGTGAAGATTGCTAGTCAATGAAAACCTACCGGTGAATTACTGAAGCAAGGGCAGCTGCTGGAGAAAAAGTACGACTTCAGTTTCCAACTTTTTCCCACCTCACCTTAGAATATGTTAAAAGTGTGGATAAATTTTGCAGTTATGAATGTTGTCATTTCATTATATTGAACCTGAGACAGCTAAGAGGTCTTAATCTATGAAATGGTTCAACAAACCATTAGTTAGATAACCATACAAAAAGGATGCTTTTAGTTGTTGTGTCGTTTGTTCTACGTTACCTTTTTTTAAACATCACAGCTATGTATAAGTAAACTAAATGCAACATTTTCAGATGGCTTAAATTTCATCCACTTTACTAAGCAAATAAAAAAACTCTCCAAAACAAGACAGACTTAACTGCCTGTAGGATACAAGAAAATCATAACACTAGGATTCACAGGCTAGAACAACTTCACAGCATATCAACAATAGGTCTTCTAGAGGCTAAGTCTCTTTTGATAGGCCGTTTGTAATACTAAAAAATTTAGAGTTATCCCTTTATAAAATCATGCCTGCCACTGTAGTGAAAGACTTTCTGGGAAGGGGGAGGGCCCATTTTTTTAAAAAACATAACTGCGTTTGTTCCACATTCATTAACACATCTGAAAAGTTAGTGATAACTCACGGCTCGGCGAATGCGGGGCCTTTCTGACACTCCCTTGCAGACTGAAGTAGGCAGGCATAGATACATTGAACCTTTATAAATAAAACAAGGGGCCAGATTGTTCAGTTTGTATAGAATAATAGACTCTGCCAGCAATTTCAACACAGCATCTAGAAATACATGTTGACTGTAAAGATTCATGTACATAAAAGCAAATGAACAAAATCAGAGTATTAAGAAAAGACAGCTGATGGCCTCATAGGACT